AAAATTGTAACCATGCAGCCGTCAGCTACAGTATCACATCAGATCGTGCGCTATAGATTGCCTGAAGAACAATTCCAATCATTCTTTACTATAGGAGAGGAAGAATTGTATAAACTTGTTAAATCATCTAAACCAACAACATGTATATTAGACCCTATTCCATCTAAGCTCCTAAAAGAGGTGATTCCAGAAGTCTGTAGCAAATCAGCTCAAAAGGGATATGTATATAAATAATTACAGTTAATTATGATTAATTACAATTATTTATATCAGCTGCCAGTAGTAACTATAGCAGAATTAAATTGCCATCAACCAATCTGTTCGTCCAGCGAACACTCAGTGTAAGTTCATATCAACTCTAGGAAAGGATATTTCACAGACAATATTTTCATACAGTATTAATGCATTAGAGCATGTAGTAAGGATCAAAATCGAAAAGGGACATTCATTTGCAGGGCAGAATCAGAAACAAGAGCACAAGAGTTTTATTAACTAAACACTAACACAAACTAGTCTAACAAACAAACAATCACTCATACATGGGAAAGGGCAAATGAGGCTTGATGGATGAAGCCATCAGGAAAAACCAGAGAATGAATCTATGAAAAGAGTCACTTAACCACCTGAGTGAAAACATCAGCGCTGTTTTAGAAGGGGTTCTACAGCTTAAACTATACCTCAGTTTCGTTTAGTTAAATGTACGATACTTGCATTGCCTTGGCCTGGAACGAGCGTACGGATGCAGTCTTGGATGAAAGTCTTGATGGTTTGGAGGTTCGGTGGTGTAGGAGTTGCGATCACCTTCTTCCAGGTTTGAAGAGTGATGAGCTCCAAAGATGTTCTGACTCGATTGTGATTGGGAGTTTCTTCCCAGTGGAAAGTGAAAAAGAGCTAAGAGAGACATCAGCTGAGATATTAGGATCTTTGGTGAATGTAAAGTCAAGGCCGAAGCCTGGCAGGAACTTAGGGGTTGCAGAAGCATTCTAGCTCACATCCTCATCTTCTCAGAGTCTAACAGAACCGCAGACTGGCCGAGGCGGGTCACTGATGTGAGAGCTTTATCTCCTATTGAGATCACACCTCCGGGGATTCAAAGAGCTTGCACTTTCGGAGAGAAAGTTTACGACTCTTTGTCTCTGAACATGATAATTTGCATATGTAATTCAACTGGGTGCTGATGCAAAAACTACTATAGATTCTTAGAACACTAATATGTTGCCTATGTACCAACATATAATATACACTCTCGTTTAGATCATCAGGAGACGAATTCATAGATACTAAACACGGTATTGGTAAGATTACATGAACGAGTCGTTCTATCATAAGCATGCATAAAACAGTATACAATACAAAAGACCATATACAAGAAGATAGTAATCATACACATGACCTGGGGATATGCATGATAGGAAGGTCATAGAAAAATTTGTCTATGAATTAATGAAAGAAACCGTTTTCTATAGCAGTATGTATCTGTTTTAGAGAGAATTGAGTAGGGGGGAAAGTCTGGCTGAGGTGTCGTGGTTGCCATGGTAACCAGGGGCCTGGGGGTCGTTCGCAGACATCCTGGTACCCAGTATGTATATTGGGTGAGGGGTCTGTGATTTTTTGTTAATCTAATGAATGATTGATTTGTTAAATCTAATGAACAAATGTGTGTCTGATTGGTCCAAATGCTACAAGTCATAGATCCTCTTCTGACAATTATTAATTCGTCATTGCCATTAGGATATGTCCCCAAAACCTTCAAACTGGCTGTTATTAAGCCTCTCATTAAAAAAACACAACTTGACCCCAAAGAACTAGTTAAAGGTGCAGTTGTCGAAGATTTTTATTAATCAAAGTATGAATTGTTCGAGTGTAATCATTAGGAATCTAGCCATTTAAATATCCATTTATACTTCCATTATAATCCCATATGCCTGTGTGTAGAAACAGGTCTATCGCCGTCCAAAGCCACGCCCCCTGGACGCATGAACGCGCACAGACCAGAGTACCTGACACTACATTACTACAACAGATCATGACTCATTCACCGGTGAGAAAACTTTATAGTACAGTTAGTAACAGTACTACAATACCAAACTTAAAAAAAAAATTTTTAGAAAACAGAATTAGATGCACCATTTTTCCGGTTGTGTATCTAGCAAAACTTGTGTGGAATAATGTTTCTTGCATGTCAGGGTTTCCACGATGACAGTCTGCTTGGCTCCATTGATGTTTTTATGGAGACAAGTACCTTGTCCGACGCGAGCGTACAGGCGGACACAGGCCGGCGGAGTCGTGCTAGGGGGCAGCTGCCGCGAAGGGTCACACGTAGGGGCTGCAGAGGACGGGCCGGCCGCGGTCGGAGTAACGTTGCCGTACAAGGAGCATTAGGACTCACACTAGATGACGCACGTCGTGTTCAAGATCTGCAATCTACACGAATTGCAGATGAGCAGGTAACTACATAACATTGTTTATGAAGACTTTATTAAAACATCAACAGTAACTTCAACATGTCTCAATCTGTGGACAGTTATACTTTTATTTTTGCTTTTTTGCAAAATGCACTTTGTACACAATTTCTCTTATAAAACTAAGCTGTATTTATTAAAAACGATATAAATCATTTGAAATAATGTTTTGCCTCACAGGCCAGAATTCGACAACTGAGTTTACAGCAGTGCCGTCAGATTCTGGAGATTTGTCTTGCCCGGGACCCCAGTCAGATGTTTGACATCATGCATCTCACAGCTTCAGATGCTTCTCCAGCTGGCCCTCCTCTCTCTCGTCAGCCTAGTTGGTGTGTCTGCGCTAACTGCAGAGAGATGTCATCTGACTTAGAACGTAAGTGTTGTGGGCAACAACAGCAGCAGCACTGCATGTCCAGACTCCCCCATATGGAGGCCTATATTTTACAAGAGGGGGTACTGCACTTAGCCAGACGTATCTGGACTGATATCCGAGCTGTTCCTGATGCTGTGGAGGCTGGGAAGAGCAATAGGCAGTTCCGTTACACTCTTAAAAATAAAGGTGCTTCAAAAGACAAAAAGGTTCTTCTATGGCATCGTGAAGCACCTTTATTTTTAAGAGTGTATGCTGCTTACCGTCAATTTGTTGTGTGACAATATGGGGCACTGGGACAGGGGCACAGGGTGGTCATTCCCAGCTGCTGCGTGTGGACAATACGTGATCGTTTCCCTGACCCCCATGGACAGTATCAGGGTTATGTTCCACAAAGATAATGTAGATGGTGTGTTCAAAAAAACTAAATAATTTGTAACAATACGTAATGTAGACACTTGATAGAAATATTTGTACAAATTCTCTTTATTTTTTTGACTAAGTGCTCTTCGCAAACAAATTTGTTACTTGTTCTGTGGTACTTGTAATTTTTTCTAATAAAGACATATTTTGTTATCTTGACAATTCAACGAAAAAATTTCTGTACATGCACAACAATGAAAAATACAATATAACAATGATGATCCAAACAAACATCTTAAATTTACATATACCCAGTACATTATAAACACAGCAAAATATATGTATATGCTCACTTTCTACAAACCAGAGGCTATCAAATTTGGTCCTTTGGAGCCACTGTCCTACTTTTTTTTTCACATTGCAATCAAACACACAAGAATAAGGTAATCATAGTTTTATGGTGTAAAAAAATATATATAGTCATGTAAGTTGGATCCAACTTTGAGTCTAACACTGCAGACATGTTGATCTTGAAGGCTAGCATCCCTGATGTAAAGTAACAAATACAGTGTTGGATGACTGCTCAAGTTGTGCATGTGTCCTGACGTGTGTTGCCAGGGCTGTCTACAACTGGTTTTAAAGGGACTGTCCTGCAGAAAGAAATATTCACAATTGTATTCACAATTACATATCAGTGAATACATACACATAAAAAATCCTGACTAGTTGCAGCAAAGAAGGTGACAGCATAACACCTCTGGCTGAGTAGTTGTAAAACATTTCAATATTACAATAATTATTGAAACCTTCATGTCATGGGCCAGAACAAACAAACTAAATCAACTCACCTGTCCCTCTGCTGAGTTGTGTCTGCAACAACTCCTGGGTGCTTGGTACATGGCCACCAGACAGAACACCAAGTAGACGTGGATCACCTGGCCTCAGGGATCTTCTCAATGGCATTTCCTCAGTTCTGGATAACTTCTTCATCAGGATAGAGCTCTGCAGGTCTGCTATGTAACTGTAGTTCTTCTCTACTTTAAGTGCGTATAACCTCTACCTTCGGGATTTTTTGTTGTAAATGTCTACCTGTTAATCAGCAATTGAAAGATAATGCATTGCACTGAAACAATTCGTTATACAACATACTGAATTGAGCCATCGGCTCTTCTCTTGGCTGGTCTCTGAATGTGGTGGTTATAGTCCAAGCCTGCAAGCATAGTGCGAGCTGAGTATACAGGAGGTGAGAAACAGAAGTGCTTGCTAGCATACATAAGTATATGGTTGTGAAATGACTCAAGCTCGGAAGTAGACCTGTGGACATAAAGGAAAGAATGCATTGTATTTCAGGTTGTTGATATGCAATCTCAGAACATATAATGGCAACACAGTGAAATGTCCATGAACTATCTGCATAGGGCAAAGTCAGTAGTGCATAGAACTTTACTGTCAAACCTGAAATGTAGGTATTTGTGCACATTCTTCAACCATCGTGCATCCAGAATTAAGCGTGTGAGAGTCTGATGTGCCTTGGAGCCTTTTTCAAACCACTGTTTGTCTCTCTGCTCAACCAAGGGACCATGGTCACATGATCCCAGGGCCCATGCATGTTCTCCTGCGACATGGTGCAGGAGTCCAACTTATTTGTCCTAAAGTGAACCGGTTACAAAATTACTGTGACATTTCTATAATAACACTGAACCGACAGTTTGTTCAAAGTACAATACACAAAAAACTCACAAGATGAAATTATATACTTTTGAGGTCTAGGCAACACTTACAAAGAAATCATCATAGATGTCTGCCACCTTGCAGCAATACCAAAAGTGGTTGCATATGTCCTTGTTCCAATATAATAAAATATTGCAGTCCTTTTGCTGCCCTGCCTGCACATAATTCATTATTAAATTAAGCTGTGTGTAAAATTTCATAGCTTGTACTCATTGTCAATTTATATATTTTTATTTAGGTTATGAAACATATAATGTTTTATTATAAAACGTACATATAGACCTACCGCAAGGATTTTTTTACTCAAGCTTTTAGCTCCATGCCAGATGTCGAGTGTGTGTTGTACACCACTGTCTTTGTATTTCCCCTTGTCTGTTGGATAAATTGAAAAAATAGAATGTATAAATTTTACTTGACACATTTTCAGATGTTACTCCATGCTTGTTTTTGGGTTAGTGTCAACCACAAACAAAGCAAAATACAATACTCACTGAAGAGGGCAGATATTTGAACATGGGCATCGGTGCAAAACTCCGTAACCTTGAGCTCCTCACAGAGTGTCTCAAAGGTACGAATGAAGGCCTCTTTCTCCATTACAATCGAGTTCCTCTGTGTTTCTCGCTTGTCTATGTTGACCATGCTGATAATTTTTAATTATATACTTTTGAGGTCTAGGCAACACTTACAAAGAAATCATCATAGATGTCTGCCACCTTGCAGCAATACCAAAAGTGGTTGCATATGTCCTTGTTCCAGTGTAATAAAATATTGCAGTCCTTTTGCTGCCCTGCCTGCACATAATTCATTATTAAATTAAGCTGTGTGTAAAATTTCATAGCTTGTACCCATTGTCAATTTATATTTTTTTATTTAGGTTATGAAACATATAATGTTTTATTATAAAACGTACATATAGACCTACCGCAAGGATTTTTTTACTCAAGCTTTTAGCTCCATGCCAGATGTCGAGTGTGTGTTGTACACCACTGTCTTTGTATTTCCCCTTGTCTGTTGGATAAATTGAAAAAATAGAATGTATAAATTTTACTTGACACATTTTCAGATGTTACTCCATGCTTGTTTTTGGGTTAGTGTATCAACCACAAACAAAGCAAAATACAATACTCACTGAAGAGGGCAGATATTTGAACATGGGCATCGGTGCAAAACTCCGTAACCTTGAGCTCCTCACAGAGTGTCTCAAAGGTACGAATGAAGGCCTCTTTCTCCATTACAATCGAGTTCCTCTGTGTTTCTCGCTTGTCTATGTTGACCATGCTGATAATTTTT